ATCACCAGGGCCTTGACCCTGACGTCCACTCACTTGCTCACTTCTGCACCCCTTTATTGCCTCCTGCATACGCTAGTCCCATTGTGCAGTCCAACTTTACTGAGCCCCTTCCTCTGTGTATCACTGGGTCACTGGGGACCAAGTCCCTCTGCCCTCAAATCCAGTGGCCGGTGGAGCAGGGTTCCTTGGCCGTGGGGGACAAACTCAGCTGGAAGGCACTGTTCCCTTTATTAGCTGTCTAAGCTTGCTCCAAAGCTTGGCCCCTCTACTGCAAGACAATGTCTGTAAGTCATCTGGTCCAGAGGAGATTTCCAATGCCTGCTAGTATCGCAATTACTAAGAGAGGAGAGGGACATGTAAGCAACTAACCATACGGAGGTAAGTGTTTTGCTAAAGGTCTGTAGCAGTACCAGCCCCTGCCCGGGTTGCTGGGATGTGGTTAAGGGCAAGTTTCACAAGAGGGAGTTGGGAGGAACAAGTAGGTGATCACCAAGCAGATGGAAAGGGGAGGACATCCCAGACAGAGGAACCTTTGCGGACAAAGGCACGAAGGTGGGGACTCAAGGTTATTCAGGGAGTCCAGGGTGGTTAGAGTATGGGGCGGGGGGAGATCTGCCTGGCAGACAGTCTGGGCCAGGATGTGAAGCCTCCAGCGTCTCCCCGAGGAGACTGAGCTCAGTTCTGAAGGCTGCAGGGAGCTACCGTCTAGGGCGTGGAGGACCCCAGGGGTTCTCAGTGTTGGCACCATGCACATTTTGGGCTGGGGGCTGTTCTGTGTGTCATAGGGTATTTAGCAGCATCCTGGCCTCTACCGACGAGATGCCAGCAGCACCACTCTGCCCCCCTGCAATCGTGACAATCCCAAATGTTCCCCAGACATTGACAGAAGTCCCTTGCGGGGCAGGGGGCAAAAATCGCCCCTTGATTTCCGAACTACTGGAGCAGGGGGGAAATGACATGCCTGCCTTATGCTTTTGAGAGCTGGCCCTGACTGTACCACGGAGAACAGAGTAGAGGGACAGAGCCTGCAGGCCAGAGGACCAGTTGGGAGGCCACTGGAGCGTCACAAGTGAGAAATGGCCAAGGCCAAAGCCGGGCCTGGTCTGTGGGTCGGGAGGAAAGGGGCCAGGTGATCCAGACTGAGGCAGGGTGTAAAGGGGACTCGCTCTGCTGTTGCTGAGTTTTATCAGATTCCCTGATGGCAGGTACAATCTGGTGGGTGCCAAGATCAAACCCCATCTTGAAGAGAGAGCTCAGGGCCACCGGTGCAGGTGTGCTGAGAGACTGAATGTCACTTGGTTCACCCAGAATCTGCCATTGCCCAACCCCAGCCCAAAGAAGACGTTGGTGTTGGAGAAGCCGAGATAAGGGATTTGGGGAAGGGTGTGGCCATTGTGCTGAGCGCCCCCTGCTGCCTCTTGGGGGAGGGCGGGGTGCTTCCCTTTATCTTGGGCAAAGCAGGGAGCGCTACAAAAGACAACTCTGAGACCTTGGTATCCAGGGAGTATAGGGCCCACAAGCCTGATAGGAGATTCTTGCCTGCTTTGTGCACTCCTGAGTGCCCAGTACCCCAGGGCTAGCAGAGCACCCCAGGTGCTCGATAGAGGTGTGTGACATGAGTTAGAGCCTGAGTCTAGATGGGCCCGAGGTGGCCGACCCGGAGCAAGACGGGGTGCGTGAGGTGTGAGCCGGGCTGCTACAGGAGAAGGGCAGAGTCCGCAACTGCGGACTCCAGGGAAGAAGGCAGCTTTGGGCCATCTCTAACTCAAAGTGCTTCCTCTGGGGGAGCAGCCCTCAGAAGCCTGGAGGACCACCATTTATGTTGCAGGCAAGGGAGTGTAGGCAGTTGTGGCCAGCAGGAGGCTCGGGCAGCTCCAGTGTCGGGGAGCTGCGGTCAGAGGAATTGCCAAGAAAGCCTTCAAGATGCCTACAAAAGTGCCTCCAGAGAATGAGCCAGAAACTGCTTCCAAAAGGCCCCAATGTGAGCAGGGTAACGCCTGTAGTTCCCATAGAGGGTTGGGGAAGGTTTGGGGGAGCTTCTCCCCAACCATACCTGGCAGATTCAAAGAGAGAAGTCACCAGATCCTCCCCCTCCGACACAGTTTCCAAGCCTGGGTTCAGCAGGAGAAGGGGAGAAGCTCCCCCCAAGTCAGAGACTGGAGCTCTGATGAGTTCCCAGGATAGGACTGAGGGTTGTTTCTTGCCTGAGATGCCTGGAAAAGCTACAGGACCTGCCCAGGATTTCATGCAGAGGCTAGGAATAGGCAGACCCCCACAGCAAGTTTCACGGGGACTGCGCCTCCTTCCTTGGACCAGTGCCAGCTGGTGGCCTGTGCTCAGCAACAGGTCCTGCCGTGCCCTTGCTCTGCTCTCCAAGGCAGTGGGCTGACCTCACAAACGACATTTCCCAAGTTCCTTTGTCAAATGTTTTCCATCTTAGGTTTGGCCAATGGGAGGCACTGGTGGGAGATTAGTGCGAGAGAGGAAGGGAGAAGCCAGGATATTTCCCTCCGTACTTCATGTGGTGTCTCCTGCAGAGGCTCTGTCTTCTCCGTGGTTCCGTATTCCCCCCAGTTGGCCTGGCTCCTGGCTAAGGAAGCATTGTCTCCAGCCCTAGAGGTGGGGGTGGCTTCTTGCAGTTGCTAATCTCTCAGGGTTGTCTTCCCTTCCCCTAATTTTTCTTTTAATTCCTCTAACATCTTTGTAACTAATTCCTCTGTATTAAATATCTTTATAATATATATTTTTGTTAAGTTTACACCTTTTTTTTTTTTTTGAGAGAGGTGGAGAGGGGCGCCTGCATGGCACAGTTGTTAAGCGTCTGCCTTTGGCTCGGGTCATGATCCCAGGGTCCTGGGATCGACCCCTCATCGGGCTCCCTGCTCCGCGGGAAGCCTGCTTCTCCCTCTCCCACTCCCCCTGCTTGTGGTCCCTCTCTCGCTATGTCTCTCTCTGTCCAAAAAAAAAAAAAAAATCTTTAGAGAGAGATGGAGAGAGCACAGTAGGGTTGAGGAGATTGAGGAAGGGCAGCAGGAGAGAGAGAGAATCTCAAGCAGGCTCCATGCCCAGCTCGGAGCCCGACGCAGGGCTCGACGCAGGGCTCAATCTCATCACCCTGAGATCACGGCCTGAGCCGAAATCAAAAGTCAGTGCTTAACCGACTGAGCCACCCAGACATCCCCAAATACCCTTTAGAGAATCACTAGGCATAGGGTTTGCTTTCCTCTTGACTTAGCTGCCACCCACCCCTTGAATCCAGCTGATGGAGTTGGGCTGGGAGGTGGGATCCCAAAAGGATCCCCAACTTTTGGGTGGTGGGGGTGCCATTCACTGGGATGGGGAGCCATTGGTGGGGATGGGTCCATGGGACCCATTGGGTTTGAGGTGTGTGTGAATCATCCACGGAGAACCATTTGCCCCTGCTTCCACCAGGTTGACACCTCATTCCTGGTCTTTGGCTCTCTCTTACGGATCAGGGAGTCCTCAAAACTCCCAGGTGAGACTCGTAAGGGCCATAAAGAAGAAATCTTTATGCTCGTTTTAGAGGCTGATTCTCTACGCGGAGTTCAGTTTGTGGTCTGTGCTAGCGGCACCCTCATCAGGGCCTATCTCTCGGAAATGTTTGGGAACCAGGTAATTTCCCAGACTCCTGGTCAGGAGGTGGGATTTTCCACCCCACAAGTCACTTCCCAGTTTCTCATTCATTCAGCGCCTAGAAGCACCATCCTTGCCGTCTCCATCATCGGGGTTGGTGGCCCAGAGGAGAGGTCCCTGAACCTCTTGGGCAGCCTGCCGTGAGGGAACGGGGGAGCAGAATAGTCTCCTGCCGCCCTGCCCACCTCACTCCTCAGAAATGTCCTCTGTGCTGGGGACAAGGACTCCCAGGGCTGGGGGGCGACGTTCTTGCCACACAGGGCTGGCCTTTGCATTAGAGTTGCCACTCAAAGGAAGAAAGTAAGATGGCAGCTTGAGTGGGTGCTCAGTCATGATATGAGCCCTAGGGAAGCCAGCCAGCCCCATTCTGGGCCCCCTCAACTCCCTGGATGGCTTTCTGCCCCAGCCTCTGTTTACTTGTCAGTTACCTAGACAGGGGAAGGCAGGGCAGGGTCTGGCCCACTCTCAGAAGGGCTTGAAGAATGTTTAAAGATAGGGGGGCCTGGCTGGTTCAGTCCGGGTGGAGCGCAGGACTCTTGATTTCAGGGCTGTGAGTTCAAGCCCCACATTGGGCATGGAGCCTACTTAAAAAAAAAAAAAGTTTAAGGATAAATGCACAAGTGAATAATAGTAATAGCAGCTAATATAGTATACACAGTTTATTAAGTTACAGATATATTTTGTAAGCGTACACACATATATAATATATACTATATTATATGTAATATATAGCTTTTAATCTTCAGAAAATGTAACCCTATGAGGTTAATGCAGAGACTCACTCAGGTGGTCTGGCTCTAGTCTAAATGACTGAATTATGTAGAACACCGGCGGTCCCCCCAGAGCTAGTGGCACCTTTGTGAGATGTTTTTCAAGTTAGTGCCTCAGGAGGTGGAGGGAGGGGTAGGGGGAACACAGGCCGGCTTGAGAGGCACAGCCTGGGGCAGCAGTAAACCTGGTGGGAGGGGACTCGAAAGGGGGGAGTCCGAGAAGGAGGCTGAGAGGTCCCCGAGGGCTGGGAGTGGCTGGCGCTGGCGGGACCGACCGGCACACGGGTCGGTCGGTGGAGCCGGGGTTCGAGCTGGGCCCTGCGGGGGACGGGGAGAGAGCCGGGGTGGGGGTGCGGGGCGGTGCGCCGGGGAGGGGGCGTGGGAGGAGGTGTGGCGGAGAGGCCCCGCCCCGCCGCCCCGCCCCGCCCCGCCCCGCCCTTCCACCTGCCTCCCTCCCGCAGCCCGCGCGCCGGGTTTCGCTTTCCGTCGGAGCCGCCGGAGGCAGCGGAGCGCGGAGAGGAGGCGCGAGGGCGCGACAGGCAGGGACGGCCGCGTTCGGCCGCCGCCGCCCCCGCACCATGGCGCCCGCCGCCCTCTGGGCCGCGCTGGCCGTCGGACTGCAGCTCTGGGGCGCGGGGCACGCCGTGCCGGCCCAGGTGGGTGACTCGCGCGGCCCTCACGCCCACCGGCTGGCGCGCACCCCCTATCCCGGGGCGCCCCGGCCGCGCTCCCTCCCCACTCCCCCCGGGGTGCAGTGCGGGGGCTCGGGGCGACCGAGGCGCCGCCCTCCGCCGGCCAGACGCACGGCGCGCGCGCCCCTGGACACCCGCTGCGGCCCCCGAGGTCGGTGTGGCACACGTGCGCTCGGGCCACCCGAACTCTGGTCCCCGCGGCGCAGCCCGGCCCTTCCGCCCCCGCAGGCCCGAGTGTTTGGGGGCTGGCCAGCCGTCCCTGGGCTGATCCCCGCTGGAGCCTGGACCCCAGCTCGGACAGCCCTGCCTGCCTCCCGCGGCGTGGGGGAGGGGGTTCGGTACTGGGGCGCTGTCCCCACGGCGGACGCCGGCACCCTTTTCAGATATTCTCCTCCTGTGGGCTATGGTTTTCCTCTTTCTTAGAAATACCGGGGTTGCGCGCCTGAAAGAACAGGGTCAGGTGTGCAGTAAGCGCCTGATAAGGGCGCGGGAGGACCGTGGGCTGTTCCCGTGCTCTTTGCACCGACCCCCTCCCCAGGACCGACTTGGGGTGTCCGGCGACCATTTCAGAGCCTGTTCTCTGTGGGCTCTGGGTAATGGGGAGGAGACAGTGTCTTCAGGTTCTCCTGGGCTGAGCTCTGGGGACACAGGAGGTGAGGGAGGACTTCTGGGCTGGTTACCAAAGACAGACGGGGGCCCCTGAGGGACTCCAGGAACATGGAGAAAGCAGAGGCCCCAGAGGAGCTGGTCAGTATTGCCTGCACGCACCACAGTAGCAAGGTAGAGTCTGCAGAGGGATTGCTCATCCTTTGCCTTCTTTGGCTGTCTCCATAGTCTGGTAAGATAGAGTAACCCCATTTCACAAAGGAGGCAAACAGGGGCTCGGAGAACTTGTATTTCATGGACGGGCATGGGGGCGCTCTTCCCTTAAAGGGGGGCATTTCCCCTTCCACCGCGCCTGCCTTGACTGGGGAGGAGGTGTGCCTTCGTCCCTTCCTCTTGAGCTTAACCCTGATGGACGTGTGGTGTGCCGACTCAGGTGAACGTCTTGCCTGGAGGAGGGTGGCAGGTGACATTGGCTGATGCTGGTAACGTAAAGTGATTCACTGGATGCGACTAGAGTGAACTTCAGAGTCCATTTCTTGAGGGTAGAGGTTGGAGGCTGTCAGAACAGAATTGACTCACCCGCAGAGGGTGCCAGGGTGTGTCCTGGGGGGCTGCCCCAGAGGTTGTCCTGAAAACAGAGGAGGGTCAGGAGAGAGTCCCAGCTCTGAGAGCCTGAACGCAGGATCAAGTCACAGACTCAGGCCCTGAGGGCTGTTGTCCTGCGCTCGTGAACCCTGGAGTCATGGGAGCCCCCCCGGGGAAGAGGGACAGGGCTTCTCTGTGGGACACCAGGCCCGAGTCCTGGAGTAGTATGAGGGGTCCCCCATGTCTCTCACTTCCCAGCCCTCCTGACCAGCATGTTCCATCCCCCCAGGACTATCTCCACAGCCTTGGGGCTGGTCTCCTGGACCCTGCCGCCTCTCCCACTGATCTTCCTTGGTGGCCTTGCTCCTCTGTCCCTGCCTGAGAAGCCTCCTATGGCTCCCAGTGGTGGAGGGAGAAATTCCCCCCGGTGTCCCAGGTTGGAGTGAGTCAAGGGTCTGGGTTCTTTCTGCCGCCTGTCTGCATCCGTACCCCACATCCAGTGAAATAGGGTCATTGAGCTGTCCCCTTCTCATGACCCTCCCCTTGCCTCCTCCTTCAGGGCCTTTCCCACGTGCCTCCCCTCCCCTGGAAAGCCTTTCCTCATTCTTCCAGCTGGGTTGGATCTTCGGCTCTTTGTTCCGCCCAAGGACAGACTCTGTTCTGCTTTTTAATCTAGTTGTGTCTTACCTACCTCAACAGGTGGAAATTTCCTGGAGTGCAGGGCCTGTGGGGTCCTCCTCGTCCTTGTTAGTACCACAGTAGCTCCTGTTTTTGGGAACGAAGTGCCAGGCACTGTCCTAGGCCTTCCGTACAGCACCTCACTGGAAGCTTCCTTACAGCAACTCCTAAAATGGGGATGCTGCGGTTCGCATTTGGAGATGTGGAAGCTGAGCCCCAGAGAGGCTGTGCCATTTTCCAGGATTGCAGAGCTGGGGGCGGGGCGGGGGCTGCGGGGATTTGAACACAGGTCCGCCTGATTGCAGAGCTCCTTTCGCTATAACCGCCCCCCCCCGCCCCGTGTCTGGATGCCCCTCCTGCCCCCGCCAGGTCCCGCACACTCACTGTGTCCTTAGGAATGTTGGCTGTGACTCCGTAGTCGCAGAAGGAGCCCCCAGGAGACCCAACCTGGCTGCCTGTGTGGCAGACTCACTGCCATTAGGGCTTTTGCCTCCTTTAAAAGCTGGCTGGTGTAGAAAGCATGGTTCCTTCATCCAGTCATTCATTCATTTGGCAGGAAAGCCCCAGCAGGTTAGGTGAGCACTTGGTGCCCTCTGATGGGGGTGGGCAGGGTCCCCAGCTGTCTGGCTGTCTGGCTGCTCGTTGCTGGGGATGGGGTCGGGCCCACCTCCCACTGCAAAGGCTTGAGGCAGAGGGCTCACCACTTGCCTCTTCATCATGCAGGGGTCTGGGGCCAGCTCGAGTTAAGGGGAGAGGTTGGGACTCCCAGCCTGGCCTGGGGATGATGGCCTTTGGTGTGGAGATGCGTGAGCAGTGTACCTGCTGTCCCAGGATGTTCCTTTGCCCCCAGCCTGACATCCCAGAGGGGGACCTGGGTGCTGACTGAGGATGTGGCCTGGTGGTGGGGCACTCCATCAGAGGGCAGTGGGCAGGCGGCCAGGCACCCTGATGCATGCCATTCATTCATTCCCCCAACATTCATGGACACCTACTCCAGGCCCACTAGTGCTGGGCTCTGGGGACCTCGAGATGCCCATGACCCAGCTCCAGCCCTCCAGGAGCCGCATCGCCAATGGTCACAGACCTGGGCTCTGCCCCTACCTGCCCTTGTGAGGCAGGCCAAGTTGGTGAGTCTCCGTTTTCCTCCGTTTTCTGTGGACATGGAAAGTATTTCCCACTTTGCTGTCCTCACAGAGCCGAGTGGGTGTGAAAGGCATTATAGCAGAGATGGCTAAGAACCTGCCTGGCATTTTAGGTCGGGTAGTGACCCTCACTGCCATCCTGGAACCTGAGCCAGGGGCTCCTGGAGCACTGTTCCTCCCCAGGGCTGGGAGGTAGTTTATGGTCCTGACTATCCAGTGCAGAGGGTGGGTGAGATTTTGATGCCAACCATGGTACGTGCGTGTGTGTGTGTGTGTATTACATTTAGCGCTAGTTCTCAGTTTTATGCCACACTGGCTGCTTTTCTGGTCCTTGGGCATGCCACATACATACCTGCCTCAGGGCCTTTGCACTTGCCTTGCCCTTCATCTTGAAAGCTTCTCCTGCTGATATCCCCTAGTCTCATTCACTCCACTTTTTTTTGCTCAGATGAAATCTCCTCAGAGAGCCCTTCTCTGACCATCCTGCCTAAAAAAAGCTCTCTACCGGGTGCTCTCCCTCCCCGACCTGCTTTGTTTTCTTATATAACACCCATCACCTGTTCTGTGTCTTTCATTTTCATTGCATCTTCCTCCTGGAATGTGAGCATGGTGAGGGCAGGGACCTGCTTGCCGCTGTAGACTCGCAGCCTAGGACAGGGTTTCTAGCACTCCTGACATCCAGTAGTTGTTGTGGGGCCGTCCTGTGTGTTGTAGGGTGTTTAGCAGCATGCCTGGCTTCTACCCACTCGATGCTGCTAGTAGCCCCCCTTTCGTTGTGTGACAATTAAAAATGTCACTAGGTATTGCTAAATGTCCCCTGGGGGAGAAATTGCCCTGGTTGAGAACCCCTAGCTTAGAATAGGGCCTGGCATGTAGTAGGTGCTAAAAAGTACTGACTAAATGAGCAACAATATTCCTTTGACCTTTATCATGGCCCTGTTTTATGGATGAGACAGAAGACTGTGAAAAGCCAGTGGTGGCAGGGCTGGGTTCCAGTGTGTCTCCCTCTGTCTCTGGTATTTCTCTGGGCTCCTCTTCATGTTGAGCTTGGGTCTGCTGAGCCTAGGGGTGCTCTCCCTAAAGTGCTCCCTCCTGTCCCTCACTTCCCCACCCGAGCTCGTGACAGGGCCACCCACGGGCAATGACTCAGGGCCCTGGTACGCATGTGACTTGCCCGGAAGCAGGCAGGGAGGGAAGCTGGGGGTTAGGGAGGAGAGAGGGGTGCCACCAGGGGAACGGGAACAGAGTAGAGATGCCGCTGCTCCCAGTTCCGGCCACTCTGGCGGGCCAGGGGGAAGCACTATTGATGACTTAGGGGAAGGGTCCAAGCCTCAGAACAGACACATCCTTACGCTGCTGTTTACAGGCTGTGTGTTGTTGGCAAGTTGTTCTGTCTCTGGGGGTCTCTGTGTTCCCATCTGTAAAATGGGTACAACCCCCACCTCCCTGGCTTAACTTCAGGGTTAAAAGTGCTTCGTAGGCCGTACAAGCTCCCTGGTGGCTAGTTGAGCACTTGTGGTTTTGCGGGGCCTGACCTGACTCTGGGTCGTGGGGTGGTGCTTGCGCTGAGGCGGGGACCACCGTGGAGTCAGAGTCTCTGTCTCTGAGCCATGGGGCCCCAGGGTGTGGGTGGCAGACCTCTGGCTGCCCAGAGCTTCTGCCCAGCGTCCGTGATCGCAGCTCTCGTTCCGCCTGCCTTTTCCTGGCTGTCTTTCTTGCCCCGATGCCCCTCGCTGGGCGGACCCGAGCATGTGGCCACGGCTGGCGGGGAGCGGGGGCGGGTCAGGGAATCACAACCCTGCTCCTTTCATGAGTTACAGGTGCTCTGTGTCATTTGAGGGTGAGCGAGGGGGCACACTTGGCACAGTATAGGGGGGGTCTAATGGCCTCAGCTTCCCCGCCTGCAAGATGGGCCTTCCGGGCTATCTCTAAAATCTCTTCCATTTCTAACCT